TTCCCCTCCCCTTAAGTCTAAGCTGGCCTATGGCCTATTCTGACTAATAGAGCACAGCAGAAGTGACCCTGTGTAACTCAGAAGCCAGGTCTTAAGAGATCTGCAGCTTCTGCATTCACTGCTTAAAAGTCAGACTCCAAATTTTAAAATCTCACTCCACTGAAGCCACCATGCTGTGAGGAAACCCAAGCTAGCTGCTTGAGAACCAAACCACCAGCCATGTGAATGAAATCTTCTAGAACTACAGCTGAATATTAGGTCATCTTCTTCCCAGGAAACACTACTACTACCGGCAACAGAAGAACCACACAGCCAAGCCCAGCCTAAATTCCTGACCCATAGAATCATGAACAAACAAAACAGTTGTTTCACACCACTGAGTTTGTTAAAAGCAATAGATAACTAGAACCAATTTTGAGGCTGGGAAACTTTTAGTCCTAATCCTGTCATTATTAATTGTGTGACCTTGGATTAGAGACTTCCCCTCTACAGACCTCAATTTCCTCATCTGTAAAGTAAGGGGGTTGTACTAGGTGAGCTCTGATAGTCCATACAATACAAAGGGTTATCAGTGAGTGGTCTCAGCAATAAATGCCATGAGCACAGAGGGCCAGGTAAGTCTTAGAGTAGGTGAAAGGATCATGAACTAAAAATCAAAAGCTCTGGAGTATGAAGATTAAATGAGGTAGTCTAGTAGCGTAGTGGTTATAAATCAGGCTGTGAACCTCTAGGTCAGGAGTTCAAAACTACCAGCTGTTTCACAGGAGAAAGGTGAGGCTCTCTGCTTCCGTAAAGATTTACAGCCTCAGAAACCCTGTACAGGGTCGCTATGAGTCGGAACTGACTCTACAGCACATAACAACAACGACCTAAAATAAGTGCTCAATAACTATCAGCAATTATCTCTACTTTCTGAAAATTTCTTAATTTCGTGACTCTGGACAAATAAGTCTCTCTGTTCCCCAATTCTTCTCACCTGAAAAATGGGGGGAAATTCTTGGTATGTGAAAGTCCCATGCATATCACAAAGGTGCTACAAATCTAAGCCCTGGCTAGATTATTAGTACTTTTATTAATCATTTGCACCATTATCAGTATGAATCCCACTATCCTATTTTCTCTCCTTTGTACCAAAAAAGTAAAGACATTCAGCTAATGGCACTGTCCTGTAGAATGTTATACTAAGATGGAAAAAGGCAGGTACGAAGGGGCCAAAGCTTTCAAGTCATGTGAGGCTTTATCACCCAGCCACTAGCCAGGTACTCATACTGAAAACAGGAAGCAGATTTCAGCCCAAGGGGAAATCTGGGAACAGTCCAGCATTACAAGCTTGTACAATTTCCTACATCAGAGTCCTAAAGACCAGCAACCTGAAGCTGCCCCACTGAGGAGCCATGAATCAGACCGAGTAGACCCACCAGATGTCATTGAGTCAACTCTGACTCATGGCAACCCAGTGTGTGTCAGAACTGAACTGTGTTCCATAGAGTTTTCAGTGGCTGATTTTTCATTCACTGATGGAGATCACCAAGTCTCTCTTCTGAGGCATCTCTGGGTGGACTTGAGCTTGTCAGCCATTTGCACTATCCAGGAGTTCATGGAGTGGACACTCCAGAAAAACTATATTGATTGAACAAGCATTGGGTTTAGGAATCAAATGTTAGAGCTCCCCGGTTTGACCATTGAGTTGGTTCTGACTCAAAGCAACCTTGTTTAGGGTTTCCAAGAAGCAATTGGTGAATTTGAACCACCGACCATGAGGTTCAAACCAACCTCGCGGTTCAGTGCTTATCCTACAATACCACAATCCCCCTGATTCTATATACATTCATATATAAAACAGACATGAGTAGACCCATGTTGTAGGGCTGTCATGAGAATTAAATGAGGCACTGCAGGTGAAAAACATCTGAAATCCTGCTTGATAATTAAATGCCTGAATTTTTGTTGGTTTTTTGTTGGTTTTGTTTTAAGTACACAGAACCTCTGTCACCCAGCTGTCCTTCAGCTCTAACTTTTCAATCTCTTCAGAGCCCTCAAAATGAGCAGCATACATGTGAAGAGTCACTCTATCCAGTGTTGATTCTGAAAATCTGCCAGCCCTTGGGAGAGAAAAAGACCACGCTGGGCTTATTTTCCAAGGGTACCTGACAAGGCAGCAGCAATATAATAAATTTGCATTTTACAGTCTGTGCTTTTCCAAAACAAGGTGAAGAGTGTGGTTTGGACTTGACCCTGAGACCCAGTGATCATGCAGACATATGAACACCACTCTACTGGCTGTGGAAGCCAGCCAGAAAAGGGGCCTGCCAACTACAAAAAGTATTTGCTTCCACCGCTACTGAATTCTTGGTTGTTGAATGTACTGGTTTACAGCATTGATTACAAGAGCTGGGAATTCAAACCTAGCTTCAAAGTCAGTCTTTGCCCAAGGAAACCTCACCACTTTCCTCCAGTCTTATCTTTGCTGGCTGACTGGCTATACGCTGTAGATTTGGTAACAACATACAAGGACCCTGTATAGGGGTTTTTAACTACTGTAAATCTTTATGGGAGCAGAAAGTCTCATCTTTCTCTCACTGAGCACCTGATGAACTCAAACTGTGGACCCTGTGGTTAGCAGTGCAACATGTAACCCACAACGCTATCAGGGCTCCTTTATTTTCTCGACATTGCCATTCTCAAAGCAGAACCCTTGACCCCCTACGTCCCAGATCTGCATTCGGAATGCAGGTTGGACTAGTGTGGCTCTCTCTCCTCTTGGCTAAGGAACCCTGTGGCACAATGGTTAAACACCCAGCTGACCAAAGGACTGGCCGTCCAAACTCCCCTAGCAGATCCACGGGAAAAAGACCCAGCAATCTGCTCCAATAATGATTACAGCCTGGAAAACACTGTGGGGGAGTTCTACTTTGTCACCTGGCGTAACGATGAGTCAGAATCCACTTGAAGGCACACAATAACAACTCCTCTTATCTGGCACACTGTCTGTGAATGCAGAGAAGTTACTATAGGAACTACAGCACACAGCCTTCAGTCACTTTGAAAATAAAGTGTACACTTAGAGCTGGGAAAGGGAGCATAAGATCCAGCAAGTTGCAAGACTCAAGCCCAGTATTTCTGAAGGTCTGGTCCCAATCACCTGTGTTGAATCACCTGGAATGCTCACCGAAAGTACGCGTTCCTGAGCTGCCCCAGATCTACCAATTTAGAATTGGGGTGACAAGAATTGGATTTTTTAAAGATCTTTTCCTGGTGGTTCTTATGCACATTAGGTTTTGAGAGCCGCTGCTCTGACCTCTTCTAAGCTAGGACCAAATACAGAGGACTGTGAGAAAAGAATAAAAAGGCTTAAAAATAGTTTCAATCTGATCTCCCTTCTTACTCATATTCTTGCAAAACAGAGCACTAGTGAACCAAGGAGATGAAAGCCAATTTCTCAGTCTGTGTGCACCCAAGAAAATTAAATCATGACCCTGATAAATACTCCTACCTTAAAATAAAAGAACCTGCTCACCAAATCAACAGGCACAGACAAAAATTAACCCAAACACCCCATCTTGGACTGAACAAATCTATTCTGAGAGAAGGAAGATAGCATCTTGGCTGCAGCCCCACTTTGGTCCCAGTCAGACCCAGTAATTCAGCTCTGCATTCCACAGCGTGTTTGATGTCTCGGAGTGTGAGTGTGTGTGTGTGTGTTGGTGGGTGGGGGGGGCGGTGGAGATGAGGTAAGGGTTCTCTTAGCTCCAGTAGATATGGTTGGAATAAGGTTATTCAGGGAAAAAGGAAGATTTTTTTTTCAGCTCCACGAGAAGAAAAATGATCTAAAGATAACCGACGGCATCAGACATATATCATGCACTCAAAAAACTGGTTGGTGGTTTCCAGGAAATAGACACCTGATAAAATGATCCTTATATGAGATACTAACCTCCTGCATGGACATAATCATGGAGAAAATGGGAACAAAGAGTAAAACTGTCTCCATGTCAAAACCATTACATTTTCAAAATTATCAAGACATAGCCTACTAAAAAAAGAGGCAATACTTTCACTTAACAATGACAAGTACATAGTAGGTGCTGAGCATTGCTGGATTTTTAAATGGTGCGGACAGGGTGAAGGGAAGTGTCATAAATAAAGAGTAGAATTACTTTTCTACAGAGAAGGACTCTTCCCAAGTGACCATCAGCTGGAATTCCAGATGGAATTTCAAAAACCAGAGCTCACTCAGGGAGGTGCATACCTAATGGTCCAGTAAAGAGACTTTGACACCCCACCTCCAAATGATATACCTGAGGCTTTGCCCCATCTTTAAACATTTCCAGTCACCCTTCCTACATTCTTCAGCAGCAGCTCCCTACTAGCTATTGAAACTTAACATTAAAGCCACAAGAAATGTCAAATGGGCAACTTTCCCTTCCGGCTTGCTCAGTTGACTGGCACTTGCAAAGGAGTCCTGGCAAATGAAGCATTTAGGAAATGACTCTGACATCTGGCCTGGTTACCTGGCATTGAGAGAAACACCTCTGAACTCTCTTGAGGAAAAGGCTTTTCCTCAATCAGGAAGCGGGCATTCCCCCTTGAAAAGACCGTCCTGCAAAGCACCGCTCCCATAGGAGCTCAGCAGGTTAATAACACCAGAGCTTCCCTAAACCGATTCTAAAGGACCAGGTGTCCAGGTTGCAAAGACCCGCCCGCTTCTCTTCCTCAGGAGGAAAGATCAGAGAAGTAACTCAATCCAGTCCTGGGCGGCTAAAGATGGGGAAGTCTGCAGGTGGAAGGAAAGGGATGAAGCAATACCGCTCAAACTTTGCAGTTGCTCTTCAGCAGTTCTGGGTAGGAGCCCGCGGAATTGGACTAAAGGGGAGTCGCCGTCTCTAACAGAAAGGCCCCCTAATCAGCTCAACCTACCAGCTCTGCTTCTAGGGTGGCTATTCTTCCCATCCACTCAGACCTGTCCCCTCCCGAGCACTACTCTCCCAGTGTCCCCTCACCTTGGCCTCAAAGCAGATGCCGTGCTGGAAGGCGTCCTCGTTGTGCAAGGGGATCCGCAGGTCGTGCCCATCGTCCACAAGGTTGTACTTGGTTTTGCTGGGCATGGTGACCCGAGGTGGACGCGCTCCTCCAGAGGCGGCGGCAGCTACAGGAAGGGGCTGGCGAGACCCCGACGAGGGGAGGCGGGAGCTGAGAGCGCAAGGAAGGGGCTCCGACCGGAGGGCGCGGGGTGGGGGGCGCCCGAGGCGCGCCGCGGCAACGGGGACCCAGAGAGGTTCCGAGGGCCGAGCAGGAGACGAAGCAGGAGGCGCGGGTGCGGGCGACGCGAGCGGCGCTGTGGCCGTGCAATTCCTGCCGCCGAGGCAAGCGGCGGGGGAGGTGACGGCGGGAGCGGCGGCGGCGCCCGGACAAGGAATGGGGGTCGGTGGGCGCGCGACCGCGGTCCGAAGCAGGACTGGGTGCGGCGCGGCGCTGGCCCCGGAGCACTGGTGCAGATGGCCCGGGACCAGGAAGAAAAGGCGGCGGTGGTGCTGGTGGCGGCGGCGGAGGAGCGGGGCGCCTGTCACGGAGACGCTGGATCAGCCGCCAGCGAGCGGCTCCTCCTGCGGGGCGGGCCCCGGCCGGCTCCTCCCACGGGGCGCCGAGGCCCCGCCCCCGCCGGGCCCACCCCGCCCCCGTGCGCCCGGGCGGCCGGCGGAGCAGGTGAAAGTCCTCGGGAACGTGGTGCCGCCCTGCCAGCACCGCCCTCGCCCGGACACCTGGAACTTCGCCCGGCTGGGGGAAACCGGGAGCTCAGGAACCCAAGCTCAGTCCTTGTTTCCCTTTGTACAATCACAGTCTGAGTCAGGGCTGCTAATAGTAGCAGCAGCATCTCCTTTAAGTGGAGGTGTGTTTGTTTATTGTTTTGATTTGTCTTTACCAGGAAGGCCCACGTTCTGGCCCAAATGTCCTCATCCGATTCTCGTTTATTCTGAGTCTCTTTTTTCTGGAGAATCAAGACTGCGTCCAAATGAGGAAATCGCAGGCGCTTTTTGTTCCTTTGGGCAGTAATATGTAATGTGTAAGAAGGAGAGGAGTGGGGAGATGCGTTTTTTGATGGTTTAAATATTTTAATGTTTCCTTGAAATGGGGTTAACAGAAAAGGAGTACTAACAAGAACAAGGAAATCCAGAATCTTTTCATTTCTTAAACAAACACATTTTATAACTGTTGTTGTTGTTAAGTGCCGTGGAGTCGGTTCTGACTCTAGCGATCCAGTATAGGGTTCCAAGGAGCTGCTGGTGAGTTTGAACTGCCGACCTTGTGATTCAAACCGATCTTGAAGGTCAGTGTTTATCCTATAGCGCCACATAGGACTTCCATTTTGGCTGCAAACCCCAAAGTCAGCAGTTCGAAACTACCAGCTGTTCCACGGGAGAAAGATGAGGCTTTCTGCTCCCGTAAAGACTGACAGCCTCGGAAACCCTGTACAGGGTCGCTATGATTCGGAACCAACTCCATGGCACATAACCACCACTGTAGGATAAGCACTTGACTGCCAACCACAAGGTCGTGGTTCAAAGCCACCAGCCGCTCCTTGAGAACAGGGTTACTATGAATCAGAACTGACTCAATGGCACTTAATAACAATAACATATATGTATTTTTATATATGGGCATTTTATAACTAGGTGTGGACAAAATGCGCTTCCAAGTTATTTCTGACTGGTATTTGATAGTCTTAGTGAATACTTTGGTTCAATTTGTCTGTTGTTAGAAGGGGTCTAAGGAGCCCTGGTAGCTGGAGCTGGACTGCTAACCACAAAATCATTCGTTCGAATTGACCAGTCATTGGTAGGCTTTACGGCTTTTCCGCTCCCGTAAAGATTTATAGCCTCGGAAACAGAACCTACCTGGTGGCACACAACCACCACCATCAACCACCAGAAGGATTCAGTTATCTTCTTGACATCAAGTGTTCTTTAAGAAAGTTGCCTAATGACTGGATGATCAGAGCTCAACCAGGAGAGGAAAGGGGGGGGGGGAGGAAAAAAGAGTGAGCTGATAGATCTGATGAACTTGACCTATACCTATGGAGCAGACTCAAAAGAGGGAACAAATCCTCACAGCAAGAAACATTCACACACACCCACACACACAAAGTGGATGGAGAAGGGCAGCTTGGACATTGGATACTCAAATGGGGAGGGGGCTACTACAAAGGCAAGAAGTGACTGGCTTACAAGCTTTCAAGAGGGAACCTGGTGCTAGGGAGCATGGCAAAAGGCAGAAGCTCCAGTAGGTACTATTCAATCTGTCTGCGTGGAGCTGATGAAAGGAGATACAGATGGGTAACTCATGATACTGTAGGGAATAATGCTTATCAGGACGGACTATGAGAGTTGGAAATGTAAAGGTAGAAGTTTTGTAACAAGGAAGGGAGTGATTAATTCTCCAGGCTAGGAGCGGAGGTCTCTGGGACCATCAACAGAGAAGAGCCGAGAGCGGGACCCTACCCAGAGAAACAGAGATGCCTGAGACAGAGACAGAGATGATGACGTAGAATGATGAAGTGACTGGGGACTTTGGACCCAGAGAGGAAAAGGGACTGTGGGCCAAAGACTGGAGGAGAAGGGGGAAGTTTAGGGGGTGGGTTTCTGGGATATACCCTTTGGGTGGTTGATGATGCATGGAGGGGATTGGAACCATGGCAATGAGATGTTATACGATGGAATGAATGCAAAACTAAAGTTCTCCCATGTAAACTATCATATAATTCACAATAAAACATTTAAAAAAAAAAAAAAGAAAAGAAAGTTGCCTAAACATTTCCAATATAGAAGAGACTGGATAACGAAATGGTTGCACAGTCCCCTAACAGTGCAAAATGTGCAAACCAAGCAGCTATAGAATTGGTGTTAAGTGTCACAGAGTCGATGCCAATTCATCTCAACCCTGTATAGGGTTTCCAAGACTTTAAATCTTCGCAAGAAGTGAACAAATATCCATTATCTGTCAAAAGCCCATGTAGAATTTTGAGATGCATAATCATAATGGCTGTGATTTACATAGGTTAATATCGTCCTGTCCCTAAGTGGTACAAACAGCTTGCGCTGGACTAATAAACTGAAGGTTGGTTGGTTGTTTGAACCCACCCATGGCACCTGCTTCAGGAAAGAGTACAACCAAGGAACATCTATTTAGAAGTTACCATGAGAAAGAATACATGTAGAGTTACATGTAGTTACCATGAGAAAGAATCAACCTCAAACTCACCAGAAACCACCAAACTGCTTCACCTCCCCTCAAGGTCTCTGGAGCACCTGCCTATGAAACCAAGTACAATCAAAGCCAGTCCAACCTGATATCACTAAGACCAAATAGTGCCTTTGTTGAATTCTTTCCCTTAAACCATTTTTAAAAACTTTTTATTGTGAATTAGGTAAAGGTTTACAGAGCAGATCAGTCTTCCATTCAGCAATTCATACATATTTTGTTTCATGTCCTTGATTGCAATGCCCACAATGAAACATCACTTGCTGTGTTTCTTTTTTCCACGCCTCTTTCTTTTCTAACCCTTCTGAACTTTGTCCTTGGGAAAATGCTGCCCTTTTGATTTCAAATGATTGATTATTGTATGCATACCTCCCTAGAGTTATTGTTCCCCTTAAAGACCTATTGTATGACTGAAATTTGAGTCTTGGGGTGAGTTCACTTCCATACCTGAAGGGTGGCAAAGGGCCATATCTCAAGGGTTCCACCAGTCTATCTACCTAGTAAACTTGATCTCTTTTATTTTGAATTTTGTCCCACATTTTTCACCTACTCTATCCAGTACCTTCTAATGTGATCCCTTTCAAAGCAGTTGGTTTTTTGGTCTCAAGATCATGGAGACTGATGTTTACATGGTCCATTGGTCCATGCATCTTCAATTTTCTTCACTCTTCTTTCCTCTAGACAGGGAAAAACCAATAGCTGTACTTATAAACTTTTAAGACCCCCATTGCTACTCACAAAAGTAGGGGTAAAATACTGTCTCTGTGTACTATCTTATGCCAGTTGGCCTTGGTTTGCCCCAAGACCATGGTCCTGAGCTCCCAGGCTCAGCAACTCATTCCTTCAGGGTGTTTAGTTATATCTAAGAAGTTTTCATATCTTTGCCCCCATATGCTCTTCCATGTTCATGAATATATTTGCAGCGAAGGTAAATTTACAAGTACAAATATCCTCTGTCAAACCCATGTATATCCATGAATGCATTCCCACTCTTCCTCTCACACCCATTCAGTCTCTGAATCTATCCATACATCTCCTTGTAGATGACTGTTACTGAAGAACCGTGTATATAACAATATTTACTTCTGTTGCCTTTATCTCTTGTACTCTTCCCAGTGTATTCCCCCACCTCCCTCACTTTTTGCAGACCCCTCTCTTATAGAATATTACCTTCCCCTGTGCCCAAGTTAACATGTGTCTATCCTCTAGCCCTTTCTGACCCAACCTCGGTAACCATCAAAGAATGTTTCTTTAATGTGAAAACCTTTTATTGACTCTTTAAAATAGTGGCCTCGTACATTATTTGTCCTTTTGAGATTGACTAATTTCACGTAGCATGTCCTCCAGGTTTATCCATATTATGAAATGTTTTATAGATTCATCATATTCTTATATATTTAGTAGTATTCCATTGTGTGTATATACCAAGGTCTGTTATCCATTCCTCTATTGGTCATTTAGATTGTTTCTATCTTTTTGTTATTATGGATTGTTCTGTGATGGACATAGGTGTAGATACATCTATTTATGTCATGGTTCTTTTTCTTCTAGGATATGCACCAGACAGAGGGATTTCTGGGTCATATGGTATTTCTATTTCTATCTATTTAAGGAAGCCCCATCCCTTTTGATGCCCTGTGGGAACATCCATCTATGGCCACACCATTGCTTGTTTATAGGGAAGATTTGGATCATGGGAAGCATCACAATGAAATCGCTTTCAAAAGGCAAGTCTTCCTATGTGATTTCTATGATACATGCATACAAGAGAATATATTATTGCCATAATTACATTTCTCATTTTATCCTATAGCTCTAAAGTACAATTGCCCTTTTCTGTATACTGCATACTCCCTCTCTGCTAAAATTACTGGTCAGGATGTACCATTATCTGGGATATCTTTTTAAATAAAAGAAGGCTGATGACTGGAACAAATTAATCACATACATTATGATGTATGGACTTTATTATATTCATAAGTATTAGTAAGAGCCAAAAATAATTTGCACTAAGTAAATGCACCACTAACCTTTTTATAAATACAGGACACGAAAGTCTAATCAGGCATGCTTGACTCTTTGAATGTCACAGAG